TGCCCTGTTCTTTAACAAGATGTAAAACCCTCCTTAAAATTAGATGATATAACATTATATGAACTGGAAATATTTTGAGGTAAGAAATTGAAGTTCCTGACAGTTTAAAAACAGCTCCCTTTAGAGTAAAATCAATCATGTCAATGATGAAACAATAACCAACATTGAATTCCTGGTAAAACTTGATTTGAAGACTGAGGCTTGAAAAAATGGGTGGGGAGTTCAGAGGAATATGTTGGGAGTGGTAAAGTATCACATCCAAAATCAGTAAGTGATGTAACCCGGCACCACCATGAATAATTACACTATAGGTTGCAAGTACCTATAAAGTCAACTGTCTAAGAGAGACTGCAGGAAGAGTGAGAGCAAGATCATGCAAGCACATCCAACCTTCCAATTAGTGGCACTCACTACTAGATTGACCTGTTTGTATAACTGTACTGTATTTCACATTGTACTTGTTGTGTATAATAAACCTTTCTTCTAGTATCCACCTGGTGTTAAGTATTTATTCCCTTACCACGGAATATAACGGTAAGCTTCTGCAGTGTCATCTTGGCAACATGTGGTTGAGCATTGTCATGAAGCAGAATTGGACCTCAATGATTAATCAGTGCCAATTATATATTTACTTGTATTGATATCATACTGAATGTGTTAGCTCTATCACTGATATTGAGCACTTTCCACTAAGTACTGCACATACAAAATAATATATATATATATATATATATATAGTGTAACCCGGATATAAGAGACCCGGATATAAGAGAAACCTGGATATAAGAGAGATTTTCTCTGGTCCTAAATTAGAGCCTGTGTTAATGAATATAAAATAGACCAAACCCGGATATAAGAGAAACCCGGATATAAGAGACTTTTTCTCCGGTCCCGACAACTCTCTTATATTGTTTACACTGTATATAACTTATTATACTAAATGTTATTTTAGTGGTTACCAAAACAGAAATTTTTTTTTATTATATTGTCTTAGGGGTTTACTTAATCTATACAGCACTGTACACACATACGTACACGCATGTGTGTGTGTGTATAAATACATAGAATAATAGGAAAGAACACATCAGGTAAATAATCCAAAGTTCTTTAGTATTTTTGTTTTATTTTTAAAAACAGTGCTCAATACAAAAGTAGAGCATAAATTATAATTATTTGTGCAGAGCAAAAATATTTTTAAAATAATTATATATATATATATATATATATATATATATATATATATATATATATATCCCAAAAAATTTTGCTTGAAGATGGAACGGAGCTTAGTAATTTAATTCAATTTAATTCTCCACAGAATTACATTGAAGTTTTACAAAGTTGTTTTGAAACATGAGAACTCTTATGTAGCGTGTTGGAATCATATTTTTAAATAAATAATTATATATATATATATATATATATATATATATATATATATATATATTATTCAGGCACTTATATGTGGTGTACTGGTTTGGTGTACATGTCCCACTAAATTGCTTACAACTGAATAGTGAGTTCTATCCTCTCAGAGTGCTTCGTACTTGCAGCCTTGTGCCACATCTAAATAAATTGCTGTATAGAGACGAGCAGCATTAAAAGGTTTCATGGAAAAAGATGTTATAAGAAACCTATGTAAATATTTTGCTATTTTTTTGCAGCAAAAGTAAACTTACATGTCATGACCTTTTATGGACTGGATTTATTATCTCTAGCTAAGAGAAGAATAAGGCTCACAACAATAAAAAAGGGTTGAGACAAAATTATCAAAATATTTACCAAAAAAGCACCATGGAAATCTTCATCAAAGTATCCTTTTCCAGTACGACAATGCTTCTACTCATTCCCCTTGTGAAACAAGGTGAAAATTGCAAGAACAGTTACTTAGTTCTGATTTAGCATCTGACTTATTCTTAATTTCTAACTTTAAAATCTTTTTAAAAGGTACCATTTTTGAGACCATTAATGTCATAAAAATGGCAGCTTTTACAGTTAAATACTCAAGAACAACAGTTCTGGGACTGTACAAATTTCCACTAACATCACTTACAGAACTACCTTGTAATATATATATATATATATATATATATATATAAAAGTGAACATTGAAGTCAGCACTCAGAGGTGACAGACTGTTTCATGTTAAATGCAATCATCAGGCCACATGTGTTGGGTTTTTGTGGCCTGATGATTGTGTTTAGCATGAAACTGTCACCTCTGAGTGGTGACTTTAATGTTCACTTTTATATTTACATAAGTTCTAGCTCTGATATTGAGCACTTTATGCCATAAGTATAGCATACCTTAAATCTATATTTCTTCATATATTCCTATAGAAATTATCTTTAGTGTGCATATATTTCTGAATAAACATGCCTGTTTTTTTAAACAGTAAAATTAATGTCTACCAGCCTAGAGATAAAATGTCTTTATAAAGAGAATGTGCCTCTGGACAGGAAGTGAATCTCTATTCACTTTGTAATCTGGGAAACGGCTTTCAACCAAGCATGCTTTACCATTAGGTTATAAGAATCATGAGACCAAAGCAGGGATCAATTAAACCTATGTCTTATCAATAGCTAAATAAAACAGAGCTCCAGTTTACTGAAGAGCTTACAAGAAGAAATAATCTATAATTCTTGTATTTATAATAATATATATATGTGAGAAAGATAAATTGGTTGAAAGAAAAATAGATATTGGTCATTGCAGAATTAAACTGCAATGATAAAGTGGGGGAAAAAGCTGTTCCATAAGTTACAAGCATCAACAGCTGCCATATTTGCTGCTGTAGTCGATGCAAAGCATACCTTTCTTGCATGTACCTTGATGACCATCTGAGAGTTATCAATAGATGTTTCTCACCTGAGTCCATCCTTCAAATCTACTATTCGTCCTTGCATTGGATATGGTTGCCATATGTGGTCTGGTGCCTCCACAGTTCATCTCAAGGTCCTAGACAAAATCCAGAGATGGATATGCAATGTGATAGGTTAGGATCTGGTATCTTGTCTACAGTCACTCTTTTACAGACATGATGTGGCTTCCCTCTGTCTTTTCTACAAATATTTTCATGGCAACTGTTCTGATGAAGTACTTTCACTAGTATCTAAACTGCATTAATTTATGACTGCTACTGGGTTGGTACCTTTGTCCCACCCTTTCACTGTCGAAACAGATGTAACCACCTCTTCTACTCCAACAGCTTCTTCTCTTACACTTCCCTTGAGTGGAACTCCCTTCCTCCTACTTCCTTCCCTGATAGCTATAATCTTCAAATATTCTAATGTAATATCAATTGACATCTTCTGATGCATTGATCCTGATTCCCGTCCTTCTCAATATCCTTTCCTCAAACACCCCTCTTTACTCTTGCTGTCACTGTCTGTAAACCCCAATGTGGTAGTGGCACTCCCACCTTGCTTGGGGTGAAATGCTTAAAAAGAAAAAAAAATATATATAAAGCTCTTCTCAATTTTCATTTGTGATGTCAAGACATATTGTGTGGAACTGATATATCTTGTTTTAAATGTAAATTCTAGACGCCTTAAGGATAAAATTTTAAAAATAAATAAATGGAAATAAAATTTCTTAAAGTTAGCAAGAGTTTTTAAATTAATTTCATTGAGGAGCTTGATCATAGACCACCCCCCACCCCCTCAAAAAAAAATGAAGAGGAGTTAGTCTTTGATATTCACCTGCTAAGTGTTGTCAATTATACAGGGACAATAAAGTCACTTGACAATTTCTTTTATAGGTAATGCAGTCAGTATAAATGAATAGTTGGTTTCACAAAGGCTTTGTTCTATTGAGTCATCCAAGTAAATGCCAACAGCAACAATCACCTGATATTAAACTAATCATTACAAGCTAGTTCTTTTCTCAGCTATCTTACTGACCCACCTAATCTTTATTTTCAAACTATTTTTAACCTGCTTTTAATCCATGATAAAGGCTGTTCATACAACTCTAATTGTGAGCAAATTAATGATCTACATTTTCGGCACATTGTGTGTTTTCTTTTTAAAACAGGAAATATGCTTTAAATTGTAAGAATTTTTTTTTTTGAGATAACAATGGTTTAGTGATACAAGTCTTACTAAGTAAATCATAGCTAGGATTGAATAGGTGGATTCGTAACTTTCAATATGATCTGACCATAAGCCAATACAAAAAATTGAACAATACAAGGCAAAATAACTATAAGCCAGAAAATAATTGTTTTAGATTGCTATATTATTTATAGATAATAATGGTTTAGTGATACAAGTCTTACTAATTAACCCATAACTGGAGGAGAAAATGTGAATCTGTATCTTTCACAAGGGTATTTGTGCATGTGGAATATCCAATTGTTTCTTGGCCTTTTATCTTGGGGATCTTCAAATAATTTTAAGCCCGAGTCCAAGGAACCTTCCCCCCAGGCAGTACATCTCTTTCAGGAGGGGGTTAGATTTATTGCCTGGTACCTGAGGCATCCCCAAAAGGATAAGTGGTACGGGTGCTTGGGCAAATTTTGCATGATATTGCCATTAAACCCACATTAAACCTTGACCTTGGGTCATATTTGGTAGTGATGTGGGTGTGCGGAAAAATATTCTCCTTGGAATATCTAGTTTTCACTTTTGTTGTTATATTTTTCGATACAGGATGTTATCTGATATATTTTCCAGAGGATCAAGCGACAATAAGTTTCCCCCTGGTCTCAACACTCACTTCATCTCTTTTACTATATTTGTTTTTGATTGATTGGTTTGTGTTTTACAGTTTATCAACCCATTTCAGGTTATTTAACACCAGAAAATATTTTAGGATTGTAAGAAATTTTTGAGATAATAATGATTTTCTGATAGATGTCTAACCCACATTTTTGGGGGGAAGAGTTGGATTCATGCCTGTTGTGCATAAGTGAATAAACAGGAATTGGAACTCAGCTCTTTGATTAATAATTCTGAGTCATTATCCACTACACCACCTACACATCCAAGCTTAGAGGACCTTGTATCCCCAAGTGGTCACCAATCTAAGTACTGGCCAGGCTTAACGTTGCTTAACTTCAGTGATCATACAGGAACTGGTGTTTCAATGTGATGTGGCCATAAACAACACAGCATGATTTGATTCCTGCTATTTAAATGTTTATATTCTGAGAATCAAGCTACCGTCATTAAATAAAGAAATGTGTGCCTTTGTATGCACACATGGACAATTCTTCTATGTGCTGTGTCCCTTTAAAACATACATGATCATGGCTCTCCACAATTTCCTGTCCTTCAGTAGCTCTTAATAAATTTTGTCTGTTATCTTTCCTAAAGCTTGCTCTGCCATACAAACATTCTATTTTTCAAAATGTTCACTTTATGCTACTCTGTGTCTATATATATACAAGAAACAACATAAGTTTGCAGTCAATTCGAAATGGTGTTAGGTGACAAAGTAATTACCATTAATTTATCAACATAACAGCAAAATTCTCCAAATTGTGTAACAGGATGGGGTAATTGCCCATTCAATAAAAAGTCTAATATCTAAAAAAACCACTAAACTAATTCAATTTTTTTCCAGGTTTTTAGATAACTTTATCCATCCAATAGAGAGAAAAATGAATCAGGCGGTCACAACAGGGAGAGGGATCATCATTTCAACTTAGAGCTAAATGCATTGTTATTGTTCAATGGATAGTCCAATAGTGTTATAAAAACTTTGGAGAGTTCCATATCTTTAATCATTTCTCAGATGCAAAAGTTCAAACTTAATCTAATATTTGGAAATTTTGCTGTTACATAATTGGCACAATTTTGCTGTTACACTCAGTGTATAAGAAAGATTTTTCAGCATTCCCAAATCTGAATCATAATTGTTTCCACGTCTGTCCACCTGGAAAGTTTGACATTTCTTGCATGTTATGGCTTGAAATTCAGCAATCTGATGGACTGAAAGACTGAAACACTTTTTTTTTTAATCAATGAATTCTTTGTGGGCATACTTTTTATTCTAGAGAACTACCTGAAAGTTAAATCAAGTCATGTTTTTTTTTTAATCATTGCAGTATCATAAATAAAACCAAAACTTTCCTGTAAAGAAATTCTTTTGGTTCTGTGAATGCTGAAAGAGTTTTTTTTCTGTACGAATTAATTGGAACAGATTCTTTCAACTTAGAAAAGCTTTTGCATGAACACTGTTTCCAGATACTGAAAAAAGAACACTAAAACATAGTTTTTCATTTAGTAATATGTATCACTGACCCCACTTGATTAATAATATCAGCTGTTTCCCTAAAAGGAAACATTTGGCATTCATTAAATGTACTGACTTTCCAGTATTGATGTTGGTTTTCTTCTTAACTTTTGATTAGATGCAGTATGGAATGTCAACATCTTGATTATGTCATTATTTTCTCTTTGGGTTACATGTGCAATCCATTTTACTTGTTGCTGCTGTTGGTAGTCCTCAATTGAAGTGGTTTCTGTTATTTGGTACAGATGTTTATTTGAAGACATGGGGAACGTTATATCTTGATTATGACATTATTTTCTCCTTGACCTACATGTGCAATCCATTTTAGTTGTTGCTGCTGCTGGTAGTCCTCAAGTGAAGTAGTTTCTGTTATTTGGTACAGTTCTTTATGATTCTGTAGTGCCAGTCCACAATGTTCAAAGAGGGCTGATCTTTGCCCAAACAATTAGGCTTCACTCCCTCAGAGCCTTTTTTAACCATTGATCTTAGATAGTGGTTGTATAATCTTTTTTACAGTAAAGGTCACTCTGTACAAGGCCCGGGGGCCACTCAAGGTAGAGGGTTATGATAGGAGGCAGTTTGTACAGATAAGAGGGCAAGTTAATGGTTAAGCCTAGACATGAACAGGTTAACATTGCAGTGAACAGAGAAACATCATCTTGGTCGTTGGTTCCACAGAGCAGTTGTTTGCGGGAAAATGCGGTTTCCACTTGCTGGATTTTTATGATAGATTCAGTGTCGATGCCACCACAGCTTTCATTCCAATTCCAGATCATAGTTTTGGAAATATTTATCTTGAGTCCCATTTCTTGGGATACCTGGTAGTGGATGTTGATTTCTGTTTAAGATCATTCTTATCCCAATTCTGAATACCTATATCATAAACAGAGTGTCCTGCCCCCACCCAACCTCCATCATCATCATCATCATCATCAGTGCATTGGTTTGGTTTGGTCTGGGTTTTTTTTATGGTATATCAACCTCAATGGGTTATTTAATGCTGACAAAATTTTTCTTTATATACTTTTTTAAAATGTATTGCTGGTAATAATTTTTTTACAAAATATTTCTGTTATTAAAACCTATTTTTACACTTTCATAGTATTTTGAACCCAGTTTGGGGTTTAACTATTTGCCCATAGCTGAGACCCTAACAGGTACTGCCACCCCAGGTCAGGTTGAACCTGGGAACACCAGCAATTAAGAGGTATCAGTACATTGGGCTGAAAATGATATTTACACAATTTTGATAAATAAGAGAAAATGCCAAGAAAGAAGCAGAACATAATTTTGCATTAATTATTCGTTCCCTCTTGTGCAAAGAGATTTTAAATTTCTGCACACACCTGTTGGTTTGCTGTGTAAGCAATTTTCCTATTTAGCAAAGCATTCTCCATTTAATCAGAGAAAATTTAATTTTGTTAATCTCAGTAATCATACTTTGCCTACTTGAAGGAAAAAAAAAAAACTCTTGCAATCCGTCAAGAGATCTACAGCTCATTTCAAAACCTTTATCATCATCATCAGTCTCATGACTGGGTGTGGTCATAAGTTTGCCATGCAGCTGAGCACCTAAATAGTTCATTTCACATATTTGGGTTGAAAGCTGGAGAGATATTCTTTCATGTGTAACATGTCTTGAGCAAGTAAACCTGGTGGAGACCATTCCTCTCTCGGTCAAACCACAACCAACTTGGTTTGGTTATGGACACACAGCTGTTGCTTCCATCGAGTGAACCCTCTGTCCTGGCTGTTGTCTTCTCTCTTACAAGGTGTCCACCCAGCAATGTTGCATTATCATCACACTAGCTGCATACATAGCTATGGAGCTCAGTCTAGTCATTGTACTAGATGGCTGCTGACCTTACAAGAAGCTTCATCCACTTTTTGACAGGTTTTGCTTTTAATCCTGCTAGGTGTCCTGCCACCTTCCTCACCAGAAAAGTGCTATGTCTTCATTGCCTTGAATGAAGATAACACAATCAATAAGTAGTATGTCACTTGGAGTCAACATAGTTTTGAGATAGACATCTAGCTTATATACCTCCTACCTATCTCAGCAAGAATACGTCGATTCCAAGTGACATACTATTTATTGATTGTGTTATCTTCATTCAAGGCAATGAAGACATGGCACTATAAAAATCATTATAGCATAATTAAAACAAATTTGAGTTTTAAAAAACTAAACCAGTTCCCCTATTTTTTGGCTTTTGTTGTGAAGATGTGCACACCTCTCCAGATGAGGACTTGAACTCATCCAAATACATAAATAAGAATGCCAAGAATTGTCAGTAGAAGAAATAAGGAAGTAGTGAATTAGACATCTAGCTTATCTGCCTACTACCTAACTTGGTACTTCCTTACTTCTACTGATGATTCCTGGCATTTGTATTTATGTATTTGGGAGAGTCCAAGTCCTCTTCTGGAGAGGTGTGTGCATCTCCACAACAAAAAGCCTGGTGGGGGAACTGGTTTAGTTGCTGCTGATGACTTGACTATGCAGATGGGAGTGGTTTACATGGTACCAATATCACTAGTAGACTAACTAGATTTCAAAATCATAAAATAATACTAATTTACATTTTTTTTAAATTTCCCCTTTAGATTACATGAAAATTTTATTTTCATGTGTCACTATTGGCTTCATGTTAAACATTTTTATTGACATTTTTTTTTTTAAATCAAATTTGTTTTAATTATGCTACAATTGGATGTATTGTATAATGGATATCAATGCAGAAACTGGAATTGGTCAGCTGAGTTTGAATTCTGGTCAAGTTTATTGTATTCACTTTCACACAAATACCCTTGGGAAATGCATGACTTTTTAGGTTAAATAGAAGGGTAAAGTGGCAACAAATCTAGGAGAAAAAAAACTCTGAATTCCAAATTTTGGAGAGGGCAATGTGAAACCACTCAACAATCTTTCCTAAGAATGCATGGCTATTCATAGATATTAAAAAAAAATCTGTGGAGAGTTATTATCACCAATGTCCTGAAGAGACATAAAATAAAAACAGAAAAAATATTTGAGGTCGAAGTGATGGGGACAAAGGTCATATATGAGTGTAGTTAATAAAACTTGCAAATAAATTTTAAAAAAAGAACAGCAAAAACTATAAAATTTTAAAAAGAGCAGCAAAAAAAAAAATAAAACAGTGAAAAAAATAACAGTAAAAAAACGATTTTAAATTTTCAGTGATATTTGAATGAAAACTCTAACATTTTTAGGCATTTAAAACAACATGCCTGCCTGCACTCACAATTCCGTAAAATACTTGTCGTAAACACAACTATACTTCGACATGAAAACAATAGACAAAAACTAAAAATCCTTGAAGCATTATACATGAAACAGTTGAAACCCAACCTAAACAAAATCAATTATGGCATCTCTACAAATATTCTTAAATGTCTATAATTGGTAACAGAAGCCATCCTTATTTCATTCTACAATTCACTCTCGTAGTAGTCATGTGTGACGTCATGAGATCTTGTGCGATTTTTAAACTTCTAGCGTCTTATATGCAGCGTGTTTATCATTGTTTAGAAATCATCTATATAAACAATGACAGACTATCATCACTGTCGTGTCTGTATATTGTTTAATATGTTGTAATTGACATCTTTGATAATGGCTTATGTAAGCTGAAAGCTTAGTTGTATTAAAAAATATGAATCAATATTGTGAATTTCTTTCTTCGTTCAACGATAATGTTATTAAACTTATCAGACATTACAAAAAAATTTTACATAGAATAAATAGACAACACTTATCTATATTATTTAATGAAACGTATATATATATATATATATATATATATATATATATATATATATATGATAAAATTATTTATTTTA